CCCCCCCCCCCCCCATCAGACACAAACGTACTTGCAGACATTCAGCAGGAAGACGTTGAGCTTGGCCACATTGCCCGACAGCTTCCTCTCAGTCGACGGCACAGCGAACCCCAAAGCGGCGCCGGGCGACCTCAGACCGCCCGCCAGAGGCACCCGCCCGTACGCCGGGAAGGGTGGAGGTGGGGGCGAGGTGCCGGTGCGTCCGAGGCCGTAGAAGAGGTCGCCTGCCTGTGACGGCAGGACAGACACTCGGCTGGGCGAGGGGAGGGGGGAGGGGATTGGGGTCAGACCGGGAGACACGGCCGTCAGGGGAGGGGGCGGCGGGGGCTGAGGAAGAGAGCCACAGACAAAGACACAGTCACTGTGTATGGTGGTGGTGGTGGTGGTAGTGGTGGTGTGCGGGTGACGTGTGTGTGGTTGGTACCTCCTGTGCTCTGGTGTCGGCTTGTTGCCTCATGTCCTGGAGGGTGCGTGAGTACTGGTCGAGCCGTCGCTCGAGCTGCTCCTTCTCGGAGGCAAGCGCCCATGTCGCTCGCTGCAACTCCTCCCAACTGACATCCACACACAGACAGACACAAACATAGACAATGACGTACGTCCATGGATGCCTCCCTCTGCCCGGCTCGACACCTACCGGCCCTCCAGCTTCTCATTCTCTTCCTGCAGCTGCTGTCTCTGCCTCTTCTCGTTCTCCAGCTGTGCCTCCAGGTGGCTTCGCCGCACCGCCCACGTCTGCTCGGCCATGCGGAGGTTAAAGTTCTCGGTCAGCAGCCCGCTGAATTGCGCCTCGCCCTTCTCACGGTGGCTGCGGAGGTCGCTGTTCTCCTTCCTGAGCGCCTCCAGCTGCGCCGCCTGGCCGTCGATCTGCTGCTGCAATGCGCGATTCTCCTCTAGCAGACGCGGCACCTGGCCCTGCATTGATGATGAGACAGACGGCGGAGGTATGGGGCGTGCTGTGAGTGAGTGGGCGTGGGGGGTGGTTGTGCGTACCGCTGATAGGTCCATCTGCCTGAGGGATAGGTTCTCGTTGAGCAGCTTGTTGAGGTCCTCGGTCTGTTTGTCATAGGAGGTCTGCAGCGCCCTCACCTCCTGCCGCAGCGAATCCACCGCACCCTCCGCCTCGAGCATCCTACACACACCACACCACACCACCCATTCGCGCACACAACAATCCACTAACACTCCTCCCGGCTGCCATTCATTCATCCATTCATCCATGCATACCTCCTGCGTATGACGTTGGGGTCTTCCTCAGTGTCCTGTGACGACGAGGGGGACGAGCCAAACCCCGGGGGAGGCGGAGGTGGCCTCGATGGGCCCGCCACAGGCCGACCCGTCGTGTCACGCCCAGGGAAGTGGATGGGCACCGGGGATGGGGGAGGGAGCGGCACACGCACCGCCGCAGCACGGGCAGGTGTCGATGGGTGCGGCGGGGTCACCTCTGGTGGCATGGCACCTTCGGACTCGGACGGCGGTGGGTGAGAGGAGGGGGGAGGGCGAGAGAGGGCCGGCTCGGCCTGCAGGGGTGCGGGGAACGGCAGCCGCGAGAAGAGCGTCCTTGTCCGTTGAGTGCGTGGCTCAGCCCCGGCCGCAGTCGACGCGTCGGTGGGTTGTCGTTCGGTGCCTGCCCCTCCCGGCCCTCCCCCGGGTGTTTGGCTCATGAGGAAGGCACGAAGGGGGAAGGGGGAGGGGCCCAGACGATACCGGAGAGTAATGGTAGCTGACAAGAGGACACCAACCACAACAGCGGCAGATGGGCCCGGCTGCTGATGATCATCCGACGAACTGGCAGCAGACGAACAATAATGTCCTTAGGAAGAGGGAACTGATACCTCTCACGAATGCTGCTTGTCAGCCGCCATGCTGCTGGAATTGATAGATCAAGGAAGCAGTTCTCGGCTGCTGCCGCGCTTCATCCCCGTTTGGCAGCATCAGCACATCGCGCCCCCCAGGCTGGCGCTGCCGAGCTCCATCCTCTGCCTTCAAGGATCCGCCATTCGCACCAACGGCCGTTAGGAAGTCAACCGCCGAAATGACGCCGCCTTCCTGTTTTGAGCCCACGGATGAAGAAGAAGGTGCTGCGGTGTGGGAGTTTGATCGGCACGCACGGCAGCCAGCTCTTTTTCGAAATAGCGAGCTTGCGAGCGGAAGACGGCCAAGCCGGAAGACGCCCCCCAGCTCGCGTTTCCCCACAGTGAAAAAGAGGCTGTTGTGCGAAGTCGAGCGCACGATGCGGCCACACTTCCAAGGAGATTTGCAACAACATGCGTATTTTTTTGATTTGCAAAGGCGGACACGCCGCATGCGGACGAGCGAAGCAGGTGAGCGTGGAGACGCATGGACGGCGCACAGGCCACCGATTAGATGATGTTATGCAATGTGCATGTCCTGTACAGAGAACATGGAGAATCCCCGCGGCGTGACGACGAAGGGCAGGCCGTCTCGCCACCAGATTCTACCACCCAGCCGCCAGCCCTCTCGCCCAGCACCGTCGCCGGAGGGCCCCATCATTGCACCAGCCCAGCCAACCAGCCCAGCCCGCAAGGTCCACCCCGTCCAGCGAGTGCCGCCGGGCGAGATCCGCGAGAGGCCTAAGCTTCGACTCGGGCAACCACCACCCGAGGCGAATGAGGCGGCAGAGGGGAAGTGGCAGTGTGAGGCGAATGAGGCGGCAGAGGGGGAGTGGCAGTGCCCGCCCATTCGAAAAGGGCAAGCGCTCGAGGATTACATCAACGAGGTGTTTGAGCCCCTCGCCGCGGCCCGGCGACAGCTCTCGTCAGTGAAGATGAGGGGAGTGGCGCCGCCGAAGAAGGCCACCTCTCGTGCTGCTCTGAAGAGCTTGGAGCCACTCATACGTCCACCGGGCGCGATGCCCCTCCCGCCCCCGCCCCCTCTCAAGCCTGCAGACCCGGTGGCGCTGCCCGAGGAGACACACGAGGAGACGAGCCAACAGGCACGAGTGGTCCACGTGGACAGGGCGGTGCAGTGCTCGCCCTCTGTCGATCGCAACGTGGAAGGTTTGGAGACACAGTTGGCCTTCGGCAGCCCTCGGCTGGTGTGGGCTGCCGGGCAGGTGGCAGCGAGACCCCGGCGCGACGTGGCGCTGCAGGTCCAGCTCGACAATGAGCCGAACTCGCCGCCTCTGCTCGTCATCGACGATGCCCGCCATGCCACCGTCCCTGACGCTGCCCTCCAGCGCTATCCCTACGCAGACGTGCAGCGGCCGAGGATTGTGAAGACGTCGCCCGCTGAGTGGCCTGCACCCACTCACTTCCGCCCAAGGCAGGAGCATCGACCCAGGGAGTTGGGCAGTCAGGTAAAGAAGCTTCCCGCCCCAGCAGCAGCCGCGTGGCTCGACACATCGGCATACGTCCATCCCGAGGTCTGCAACCACGACCAGTCACGACACGTCAGGGTGGTTCAAGACGCCTCGGTGACAGCCGATGAGGGGCAGAGGGAGGAGGACAGGGAGGCCCTACAGGAGGAGAGGATCGGCGAGGCACTGCGTGAATGGATCGACCGGCAGCCCCCGCACCCAGATATGCAAGAGACAGCCGTGCAGACGGCCGAGCCCCCTCGCCCACAGCCACCGTCCGCCCCGACACCCCCCCGAAGGACATCCGAGACCGTCGCCATCCAAACATCCACTCATGGAGACGATACAGCGACGGCGATTCGGCAGCTTGCGCAGGAGATTAACGCGTGTCGCCGAACTGAGGAGAAGCTCAGAGCACTTCAGCAGCACGAGCGGGCAAGAAAAGATGAGAAGAGGCCCGAGGCGCCGTCCAAGGAGGGACGTCCACGTCTGAAAATGTCGATCCCACGCCCGCGGCGACAAGAGCAAGAGGACCGTGCTCACGTGGAATCCCTCGCCCACCATGGTAGGTGACGAAAATGGTCACACAAGACCACATGCACGGCACCATGTTGATGTCTCTGTCTGCTTGACTGTCAGGTCAAATCGAGGGCGTGAAGTCCCTTAATACGAAGGCAGCCCCGTCCGTTGCCCAGCCACCCAGGGCCTGCAAGTCCAGACCACCGCTCCCCCCAACGCACCCGGCAGCGCGGCCTCGGGAGACGCAGCTCAGGACGAGCCACAGGGCGTCACATTCATTGTCACATGGTGAGCAAGGAGGTGGGAAGGACGTGACGAGGCGGACGGATAGTGCAATGGGCTCTCTGTGTCTGTGCTTCACTAGAGAGGAGTCCTTCAGATGAGGTGCAGAACGGGCAGCGAGAACCATTCAATCGTGTGCCGGTGAGCGAGCCTTCCGCAACACGGTCCGTGCCTCTGCTGATGTGCATGTGCTGTGCACCATTCAGGACATGTACTCACCTATAGCTGAGGACGCGGGTGGGAGGCTTGAGGCGCAGGTGACGTCCCTGCAGCAGCTGCAGCGACAGGCCAAACCCCAGCCGCCCTCTCAAGGCCGATCGCCCGCCAATGGCAACGACTTCCCCCCTGCACCGCGCACACGCACCACCACTGGCTTCAGCAGGCCGACACCGACATACATGCCCGACCCCACCAGCTACCGCTTCTCGAACGGATACTCCACCAACAAGCTGTATGCTCGCGCTGGCTGCGACTCCCCAACCAACCCGTCGCCCTACTGCCTTCTTCCGTACCCGCCACGGGACCCCGACACTTCCCTTCGCAACGAGGGACAACAACAACCACCCCACCGGCGGCAGCGGGAGGGGAAGGACTGGAGTGACTGGGGATTCCAGCCAAGTGAGGGGGACAAGTACACACCCAAAGACATCCGATTCATGTTCAAAGGGGTGAGCGCGCACACAGACGCACACAGACGGATGCCGACCAGGACTGCAAAATGAACTGATGTCTCTCTGTTGAGTGTGCAGCATTCGTTGACCGTGGCGTGTCAAGGTCTGGCGGACGGCGAGCCCGTCCCCCTGGACAGGTACAACCCGCAGTACCTCAACTCCAAGGCCTTCAACGCCTGGCTGGAGGCGAACAAGGGCTTGTTTTCCTCCCTGAAGCCTCAGCCAAAGCCAGTCAGTGACAGCGAGCGGGTCAGTAAACAACAGCAACCTCCACACACACACACACACACACACAGAGACAGAGAGAGAGAGCTGTCTGTTCTCACGTCATCCTTACCCTCGTTGTCTTTCCGTTCAGGCTGATCTCAATGCGCTTGTAGCCAAGTATGGCGGCCCCTCATTCTGGGTCTCCAAGCAGCAGCAGCCATACAAGGAGTCAGCCACCAGCCCCACACGGGCCGAGCCGTCCCAGGAGCCCACATCGGGCCCATTCCCCCCTCCGCCAGCCCAGCTGTCGCCACCTCAGGACAATAACGTCAGCGAGACCAGCAACCAACACCTCCCCAATGGCGTCAGAGACAAGAGTCGACCGATGAAAGACAAGTACGGCACCAACCAGCGGTACTACCCTGGGCTCGGCGAGAAGCCCATCGTTGGCCGGCCAATCTGCCATTTCGAGCACGTTCGTGACCCTGAGTGGCTGGATGTCAAGGGCGGGCGAGACGCCATCAAACGCAACATCCTGTCCCAGATGCAGCACGAGGAGTTCAAGAGAGAGCGGGAGGCGTGGGAGAGGGATGCTGCTGACTTCGAGGCGCTGATGGAGCGGGAGGCAGCCGACTGGAAGAGGGAGGTGGAAGCGGCAGAGACGGCAGCAAGGGGGGATCACGAGAGGGCCGCAGAGTCGACCCCCATACCGTGCGGACCAATGGCCGACGAATGGTACGAACAAGACAAGGGAGGAAGGATCGATCTCCGTTGGGGCCTATACTGTGTCTTTATCTCTTGGTGCAGCTCTGAGGAGTTGTCGAGCTGCGAGATGCTCCGGCTTATTACGGCAAGGACTGCGGACGTCAAGGCCAGATTGAACAGGCTCATTGTTGAGCGGCACGAGCCGGCGCAGACGTCCCAGCAGCCCCTTCCCAAGCAGGCAGGATCACCACCCCCGCCGTACACAGACCCATCGGATGAGCCCACACAGCCACCTACCAAGCCGAGTTGTGCACCCAAAGCCGCGGCTAAGCCGCCCCGCCACCCAGCCCGTCCCCAGCAGACGTCTCGCAACCGAGCCACGCCGTCGAAAGATAACCCATCCGGCTCCCGGCACCCCTCGCCCGCTCCCAAAAAGACCCACAGCGCTTCTCTCTCCACAAAGCCCCCTCTGAGCCACCTGCGTCGCGTCCCTCCGGGATGCATGGCTCCGCTGCCATCGCGGGGTCCCAATGCCGCAGCCAAGGTGGCGAAGAAGAGAGGGCAATCACCAGCGGGCCCCATGATCGTGGTCGATGGCCCTAAGAATGGGGAGAAGGAGGGCGCACAGGGTGCTGAGACCAACATCACGGTCAACTACAGCATGACAGCACCCGTGGGCGAGGAGAGGGCGCCTGAGGCGACTGGCAGCACGGCGCACAAGGACATCAAGAAGATCCGTGACTCGTTGAGGCTGCTGAAGTCGAAGAGCCTCAACGCCTTCCGGCATCACTCACCACACACGTCCACCCGCCAGCCCTCTCGCCCAGCACCGTCGCCGGAGGGACCCATCATTGCACCAGCCCAGCGAACCAGCCCGGCCCGCAAGGTCCACCCCGTCCAGCGAGTGCCGCCGGGAGAGATCCGCGAGAGGCCTAAGCTTCGACTCGGGCAACCACCACCTCAGGCGAATGGGCGGGCAGAGGGGGAGTGGCAGTCTGAGGCGAATGAGGTTGCAGAGGGGAAGTGGCAGTGCCCGCTTCCTCGAAAAGGGCAAGGGCTCGAGGATTACATCAACGAGGTGTTTGAGCCCCTCGCCGCGGCCCGGCGACAGCTCTCGAAAGTGAAGATGAGGGAAGTGGCGACGCCGAAGAAGGCCACCTCTCTTGCTGTTTGAGGGATGTTGCGTCGAACGCGATGGATGTGTTTGTTTTTGAGGGATTGGGAGTTATGGGTGGACGTGAGAGATGCGAACGGACGGTGAGTGGCGACAATGGAATGACTTTTGTTGCGAGACATGCATCATGGTGAGACACATTCTCTGCCCGTTCATTGAATATGAGTCGCAACACACGAGGATCTCTATTCCCTCCACACTGTTCTTTCCCCCTGCCAGAGGGAACAAAGATCACACACTGTGCCAGCAGCCCTGCAGTAAGCTCTTTGGTGCCTCGCTCAAGCATACGGAGAGAGAGACGCGGAAAGCAGGCATGTATCCTTATATTGATTGATCCGTCTCTCAACTCGTTCGATCATCGTTCTTCTCATGTGTCTCTTCTCTCTCGTCTAATCAACGCAAGCAAGCTGTACCAACAAACCTAAACACCCTCAAAACTCCCCACCAAGCACACGCACACGCAGATGCAGACGCGCACACGAAAATTGCTGACTCTATGAAAATATCAATATCAATGACATAAAAATTACCGATAATGAGACAGCCCCACTCGCACACCCGCACTCCTAACCACTGCCCCGAAGTGCACGAGCTGGCGAAGATGTCGGCACCGTCATTTCGCCGTCGAGCGATCCTATGCCCAGGAAACACTTCTCTGCAGTCGCTGAGTGAGGGCCAATCGGAAGTGTCTGCACATAGACAAGAAGGTACGTGGAATTCATTCGCTACGCCTCGATGGTATCAGTCAGCGTATCTGTGGCTTACGGTGTCGTCCTGTCCTATAGGGATGCAGATATCGAAGTGCCGCAGCAGGCGCTCCACCTCGGCGGGAAAGTTTGGATTGGAGGCGTTCAGCTGAGCTGACGTGGGCGCGAACCATGCTGACACACAAAATACAAGGAGAGACAGCAGATGGGAGGTTGCAATGTCGCAATGTCAAGAGGGGGAATGCAGCATCTCACATGGGTCATATGTGCGGATTCTCCGGTCATTGATATTGTCCGTGCGTGGGGGAAGGCCCGCCTCCTTGTAGCCCACGGCAACCTCGGCCGTGTCATTGCCATGCGTCTCCCAGCCCTCAACCCACAGGCCACTCTCCTGCTCGCGAATTTCCGCAAGGGTCTTGTACTTCTCTGTCCCTGCGGCCTGTTTCAGCTCCAGAACCTGTGAAGAAGACAGCGGATGGGCGCAGTGTAAAAGATCGGGAGACAGTGTAAAAGATCGGGAGACGTGAGCATACGATCCACCTTGGCTTCTGGGTTCATGAGCATGTAGAAGTTGTAGTCGACGTCAAAATACTCGCGAGGGAAGTCCTGGCCTGATGGCGCCACGGGGTTAATACCCACATCGCAGTCGACGAAGAGATTGTTGTGAATGGTGTTGCTCTGTGGGTGATTGAGGTGGCGCTGCGGATTTCGGGCACATGTTTTAGCTCGGGCTATCAGGTTGTTCCTGACGGCAGAGACAGAGAAGGAATAGATTTCCTTGCCTTTGCTGTTTATGCGACTGACAGGAAGAACATCTCGGTGTCCTGATAGCCAGAGAGTTGCAGGTTTTTGCGCCTGTTGTATGTCTATCGGCCGTCTTACGTGTTCCTCGTTGGGATGCCAGATGAACGCCTTCTCTGAATGGAAGGAGGGAGACACGGATGCAGGACGGACAGACATGTGTAGCACATCATTGAGCCCTTGTCTCATTGGTACCCTCCACATTGAAGACAACCTGCAACACCCACCCCACACCATCCAGACACGCAGAGCAGCATATGCTCGTTGATCCTCGCCACCCTCGCCCTCATTTGCCTTCCCTCACGTTTCTTAGGAAAACTCCCCCGTATATCCATTCCTTTGGCCACACAAGGGCATCAATAAGACATACTTATGCGGATTGGTTCACCTTCTATCCGTTTGCTGAGTGCAGACAGGCAGGTAGACAGGCCGGCAGGCACGCAGGCAGCCAGAAAGTCACCTGGTACATCCCACTTCCTGCTCCGAGAGGTGCCCCTCGTCGGTCGCTGGCTCCGTTCCACCCAAACACATTGCTGATGATCTGCATACACGTATGGCCATGCTTGCACGAATCAGATGAAAGAACGGATACGAATGCGGGACTGTCTGCTCTTTACGTTCTCCTGGAATCACATTGACAGGCAGGCAAGTAGAGAAACGAATGAATGACTGTAGTCGGCGTGCATGACGAGTGTGAGGCCTCTCTGTCTCATTCTTACAAAGAAGAGAGTGCTGAATGGATATCTGCCAGAGATGGCTACCGCCCTGAGAGGACAAAAAGCATCCGTCTCTGCCTGCGCCAAGATGCATCCATCGCTGTATCCACCCGGCATCTGCCTTAATGAGGCATGCGCGGGATATGTTGTTACGGGCGACCAGATTATCCCCATGGGCGGATGCCTGGTGGATATCAAAAGATGCAGAACATGGACATAAGCACGCCCTGTCGCCTTCGGCTGACCTTTATGTTGGGATAGACGATGGCGTCGTTGCCGTGCAGACCATACCTGATTATCAGGGCATAGCCCGCCACAATCTGATGGAGAGACACGCACAGTAGATAATATGTTCTTCGATCGACTTGCATCGAAGCGCCTACATACCTCGATGGTGTTGTATATGAAAGTGACGTTAGTGGCATAACAGATATGCACCGCTGCTGGGGCATGCTTGGCGACGGCATAGGGGCATTCATACGCGAACCCGATGTGGTGGAACGAATTATTGAAGAAGTACAGATTCCGGATGCTGGACTCACCTGCAAACACACGCCACCGTCTGCCTGCCTTCCGCTCCTTGCAAGCCATCCCGTCTGGTGCAGATCCTGCCACCATTGTCAGGGTCTCTTCCGTCAGGTGCCTTAATCCAAACAGCCTCTTCGTCGATGCTCGACCATTCTGCACCCGTGTATAGATAATGAACAAGTGCAAAACTGACCCCTGTTTGCCCCTACCATTCTTGGTAAAACTCCAGTGCCGTGTCTTCTTCCATGGCTGGCTGCTGTCCAGCTTGCGCTGCAGTTTGATGCCAAACCTGCACCGAACCAGGTCAATGGGTGGGGGTGCATGTAGAGAGGTGGGGAATATATGTGTACTTACGCCGAGCTGTGGAAGCGGCAATTGTTGAAGGTGTTATGCTCGGAGGGGTTTGCAATTGTGAATGGCTCCCGCACGATTTGGTAGAAGAAGGAGAAGGTGAGGCCCTCCCACTCGATGTATGACTTGCCGACCATATCGAGGCCGATCTCCTGATCCGTTGCATCAGTACTTATCTCTATGTCACTCCATTCGGCGTCGTCGCTCTTCCAAACGTAGAGCAAGTTGGACGTTTCGTCGAACCAATACTGGAGAGAATCCGACAGATGCACTCAGACAGGAGTGTATGTCTCTGTCTGTCTCGGCCTGTGCACCTCGCCGGGGCTGTCGAGGAAACTCAGCTTGTTCGATACGTAATAATGTGCATAGGCCCTGCAAAGAGAGACACGCAGGCAGCCAAAGGTGTGTCCTTGATTGATTGCTATGAAGGATGCATTGCAGCGACAAGTTGACCGAATTCCTGGGAACGTAGGATCTCTGCAATAGAATCTTCCATCTGGAAGGGGACATCCGTGCAGTGTGTTCGTTCCTTTGTTTCTCTGCCATACATCTGTATGTACCTACCGATCGTTATTTTGCCCTCCGCCTTGTTGTGTGACTTGACGGTGAACTGCTTGGTCCAGAAGCCACTGCGGCCATCTGCATCAAGACCAGAACGAGAAAACATATGTGTTTCCTCTCTCTTTGCCGCTGCACTCGTACGTATGCGTACCGTTGATTGTGATGTTTGCTCCCACCAGGTCGGGCAGAGTCTTGAGGGTGGCTGCGGGTTGGGGGTCGCCCGTTTCGTTGAAATGTCCCACATCGGTAAGCGTGTCGAAGGACCAGTTGGACTCGTCGCAGTATTTGTCTGAGCCTGGAGACGGCGTGCAGTCGGGAACGCCATCCCCTCCGTCTGATCAACCGGAAAGACAGAGACAGGCATGACTCAGCCGGCCAGCCAGGCAGGCAGCCAGCCAGCCGTCCTTACCTGCAAGGTACCAGTGCTGAACGAATGAATAGGCGAGAAGTATATGTGACCGCTTCAAATGTTGCGTGATTGGTCACCTTCAGATACTTGTACTCCTCGGCGGGGTCAGCGTCAGGGAGGCGATAGTTGGGGCTGCGTGCCAGGTGGTACTAGACAAGAAAAAAGGGATCGATCAATGAATCAAGTGTCTGTCTGCATGTCTCTATGGAAGCGCTCACCTTCCTGGTGCACTTTCCTGGCGCCTTGGACTCACACACGAAGTGAGGGGCCTTCGTGACACTCCATGTGCCCACATAACCCGACCCAGCTTTCAGCTTCGTCACGTCGGCCTTATACAAGTTGTCTCCTGCACAAGTGTCCTTGTGCAGAGTCCAAGTGAGCGAGTCAGCTCGAATGGACCCGACGATGGCAGTCGCGTCGCGCCCCTCGCCCACGAACTTGATGGGCTTGCCCGGCTGGCCGAAGCTTCTCAGCTTCAGGGCCCCTCGGTAGATGCCCTTCGCAATGTGGACTGTCGTCCCCGGCCGGGCGACTTCTGCCGCACGGACGACCGAGGCTAAGGCGGTCTGAGGCGTTGCCCCGTCGTTGGTGTCGGCTCCTGTCTTGTCGTCGACATAGACGTCAGGCAGGGAGGGGACGTACATGAGCATCTTGTTGATGAGGAGAGAGCCGCCCACGTTGGCGCCCCACGTGACGAAGCTACAGAGACACACATGGATCAGATCATACACAGGAGGGAGGCATAGGTGCCTGCCCATCGGTGTCTGATCGATACAACAGCATGCTCACCCCAGGCGGACCACGCTGACATCGGTTGTCGTGAGATTCATCTTTGAAAGAGACGCCGTCAGCTTCAAGTCTCCGTCGACGCACACGAAGACATCCCCATCGCCGTCCTTGCCCTTCATCGGAAATCCAACGATGTAGTCATGTGGCTGCCCGTCATCGGGCAGGTCGATGGCCGTATCGAGCTCCTTGATGTGCCCCTCATCACTGTTGTAGGTGAGAATCATGACCAACGAGCCGCTTTCTTTGCGGTAGGGGACAAGGCTCGCCACGCGTCCGTTCGAGGGCGGACCGTGAACGCGGAGCAACTCGAAGCCATTGTCTCTGAGACATGGACACGGACAAGACAGCACAGGCAGGTGTCGTGTCCCGCCCTCCATCGGGTGGCCCCATCTGGCTGACAGTGTGTGCAGCCAGCCTCTGGGAGTACTTACTTGATATGGGGGCTCCATTTGTGTTCAGGCACTGGCGGCAGCTGGAGCTGGGAGAGGTCAATGGTTGCGGCGAGGGCAGCTTGCTCGACATCGGGCATCCCCGCAAGATCATGGTCGAGGTCGAAGTAGGCATGTTCGTTGGGTGACGGGGATATGGTTGCCCCCCCATCCTCAATGGTCAGTTCGCCCTTCCTGCACACAAACATGCCACCGATGGATAGATCCCTCCCCGCATCAATGCGTTCACGGGCTTACGGTGGTGTAGCTCACTTACGTCTTCCACGCCAGGCCCTCGTCATCCGGTGTGAATGAGTTTTCCGCGAGGGGGAGTTTCTCCTGCGCTCGAGTGTGCGCGCGTGATCGTCCCGCTCTGATCCCCCGTAGATGGTGATAGATAGATCTACATTGATTGTAGCTGACGTGAGTGTAAGCGGGAGCGAGAGACGGGACACATGATTCATAATCACAGATGTGTCATGGATGGCATCACACGCAGACTGGCACAAAGCTGTCTCAATCAGTCAGCACTTAAACCAAACCAACACCATGCACCACCACAACCAAAACGAGCTGTCATTCTCTCAGCTACTGAGGCAATTGATCAGTTGATGCCCAGCGACACCCACTGCTGCCCCGTCTGGCCGACGAAGCCCAGGCGGCCCCACTGGAACTGACAGTCGTCATTGCCCTCCTCGTTGTTGAAGCCCTTGACCACCCCCTCCAGCCCGTGTTGCCGCACCTCCTCCAGCCGCGCCCCGTGCACCACCTCGCGCACCCCCAGCTGTGTGTGTGTGTGGCGCTGCCCCGCGTCGACAGCGAAGCACTGCAGCTGCGGCACACGCGCCATCTGCCCGTCCGGCCCCCGACTCCACCCGCCCACCACCTCCCGATTGCTGACCGTCTTGGTCGCCGCCCACTTGACGAAATGCCCAACGGCCGCCCGGACGCGCCGCTTGAGTGCCGACGCATTGGTGAGGACTTGGTCGACGGCGGTGAGTGCGGCGGGCGGGTCGTGCAGGAAGGCCCCGATCTTCCATGCGATGGCGGCGGCCTCCTGTGGTCCGAATGAGAGTGGCGAGGGGGAGGGCGGGTGGGGGAGGCAGGCGTCCTCGTCGTTGTGATCCACAAAGGGCAGGATGCGCGTCATGACGATGTAGGCGTCGCGTTGGGTGGAGAGGGCGGCATTGATGGCGTCCATCACGACGAAGGGCAGCTCGTTGAGTACAACCACGTACTCCTTCAGCACCAGCTCACGCCGCTTGCGGTCACCGGTTGTAGTGATGGGCAGCACTTTCGTCGAGAGGTCTGCCCCCGCCCGCAGCAGGGACCGCACCACCAGCTTGCGGTTGCGAATGGCGTCCAGCATGTCGTCGTCAACGTCACCATCCCAACCATCCCATTCGTCAAGCAGGACTTGCAGGTGCATTGCGGCACGCTGGAGCGGCGGGTGATGACCTTGTGCAGGGTTGATATCAGCAGGAGTGGCGAGACGCTCGCACAGGTAGTCCATCACCCAGTGGCTCCCCAACCCGGCAGCTTCCGATAGTGCGGTACGCACCACGCCGACCGGTATGGGGTCCCCGTGCTGCAAGATGGTGTCCATGTACTCGTACGTGAAGGCCTTGGATGGAAGGGGCCGTGACGTAGCTGCCTCAAGCACCGCCAAGCCGCTCAGTGACGGGTCATGATGCAGCAGCCGGCGCGCCGTACGGATGAGGGCATCGTCATAGGCTTGTGAGGGGCGGAGGGGAGGGGAGATCGAAGGGCAGCTAAGATAATCAAGCTGGTTTGTGGCCAACAGCACCTCCACTGCCTCAATGTTGCCCGTCTTGGCCGCCACAGACATCGCCCTCATGCTGAAATGCGCAGGATGATGGAAGTTGACGTTGGCGCCGCAGCTGATGAGCGCCTCGAGTATGTCCCGCTGCAGTTGGCGTGACGACCAGGGCTTGAGCAGCAGGGGCGTCTCGAGGTCCAAATCCATCCGCCACACAGAGGGGACGCTGTCGGTCGGGTCGTCAATCGCCAGCGACAGCAGCGGCACCCACTTGGTGTGTGGCCACTCCCCAGGTGCCTTCTCGCGGAGGCCGACCAGTGTGTGGGGGTCGGCTCCATTGGTCCGGATGAGTCGTGTGGCGATGGCGGGTGTCAGCTCACGGCGCAGAATGCGGTGGGCGAGCCGCTTGGTGGCGGGGCTGGTGTCTGTCTGCCAGCAGAGCTCGATGCCGTCATTCAGAAGGGGCGGCTGGGCGGTGCTGGCGGGCTGCTCGGACATGGTGAAGGATGACGTCTGCAAGCAGGACAACAGGCTTCGTCTGACCTCCCATACACACACAACGGATGCATGCGGGATGCGATGCGTACCTGACCGAATCAGAAGTCGATGCCCTTCCTCTCACACAGCTGCCCTCGCCACACGCGCTTCACGGGGGAGATCTGCAGTCCAGCTCGCAGCAATTGGAGAACGTAGCTGCTGCTGTTGGAGAACGTAGGCGAATCACCATGGCAATGAAGACGTCGAGGTGTGCTTCGCTATGCATCTGCCTGCTGGCGTCGTCGCTTATCCCGACGTGGGCTTGGCAGGGTCCAACGGCGCCTTCCTTCGTTGCCCCTCTCTCAAGGAGCCGCCCAGCGCTGCCTGCAAGGACCACAAAGCAGACACTAGCCCGGCACGCCCAGGCTCCTTCAATGGCTTTGGGCAAGATCTTCAGGCGCTCCGATTCACTCAAGGAGCCGCCGGCTGACAGGAGCTCTGCGGCGCCAAAGGAACGCACCGCTGTACAGCAGCTGCAGGTGGGTCAACAAAGCAAGAAAGATGCCCCGATGCCCCTCGCTGGTGCCGGCAGGGCTCATGTGTCTGTGCCTGTGTTTCCGTTTGTGTGTGTCAGGTGGTTCGTCGCGCCTTGTGGAACGTCGCGTGGTGGAGTTGGTGGCCTCAGCTGGCCCTCACGGTGGTGTCGGCGTCCATTCTCATCTTCGCCAACACCATCAGCGAGTACCTGACACTCACACAGGCCATCCTCAACGGCACTGCCCTGGCCGGCGTCGCCGTCTTCTTCTCTATCCTCTCACTCATATGGACCTACGGCTACACCCGACTCTCGCTCGACCTGCGCCGCACGGCGCCCTCCAAGGCCGTCGTCAGCATCAAGCACTGGCTGCGGAGCGGCGTGTGGATCAACCTCATCGGGCTGCTGCTCTCCATGGTCTCGGCCGAGCAGATCGTGGGCGTTCTCTTCTCAAAGATCCTCCGCATGTCGCAGCTTGTCTTCGGTGGGGGGCCCGGCGGGGTGGTGCGCTTCTCGGCTCCCACAGGCGGCCTCACGCTTCAGCCGCTGGACATCCTGGTGGTGCAGGCCAACACCAACACGAGCGTGGCGCATCTGGTGGGCCTCCTGACGTCGCTGTGGCTGGCGACCAGGAACGAGCGGCTGCAGCAGAAGGTGGCCCTCGAGCAAGCTATGGGGACGGCTGACAGGCCGGCCGAGCCTGAAGAGGAGTTCGAGCCTGACGGCCCACGCAGCCCTTTGCCAGAGTTCCCAGATGACGAATCCTTGGAGGATGTCGGTGACGACAAGGGTGGCAAGAAGTGACCCCCTTCCGATGTCACCCGACCGCCCGGTAGACCGCTAGAGGCACTGTAATTTAGTCATTCATGGCCAATCGACACTCACTCGACACTCACTCGACACTCACTGGTGGGGAGGGGATGGGAGAGATAGCGAGGGGAATGGGGGTCGTTTTGACTGACTAATAAATCAAGGAGGGGCGGCGGTTTGCGCGCCAGCCACCCGCCTAGCCCTTCTCTCCGCTGTAGTGTATGTTGGTTGTACCATAGCAGTCCGAGACAGACAAGTGCAGAGAGGGGGCGGGGCCGTGGGCGGCAACCAACGAGTGGATAGCGTGTCGGCCGGCGTTTGCGAGGGGTCCGCCGCTTTTTTGTGGCCCTAGCTATCGATCCGTCACGTCAGGCGAGCAAGACAAGACGGTAGGTAGCAAGCACGTGTAGCGCTTATCATGCAGTGGGGGAGGGAGGGTGGGTGGGGTAGGGGAACGGAGCACGAGAGAGTGCTGCTCGATAGAATTGACGAGGTAAGCGTGGGGGATGGGGAGAGAGAGAGGTGTCATTTTTCAGTGGTCCATCCATCCGTCGAGTAAGAGAGGTGTGAGTGTGCATACCTGCCCATCCCACAGCCATGGGACTTCCGATGTGGAGACTTTCATGTCATGCAGTCGGCCTTAATTGATTGATTCGTTGGTGATGGGAATGGATGGGTGTGCGGAGCGGAGCTTCATGTGGACGCAGAGTAGCTGGCCATGTACATCAACACACCAGGTAGCTAAATCTACCACAGATGCGTCAACCACAGCACCCATCAGACAGCAGCCAGGCCTCCAGTGTCATAATGTCGCCGCGAGCTCCGGCAGCCCCAGACCCAGCAGCGTCACGCCGTCGACCTCAACAAGACTCCCCAGCAGCGAGCCTGAACGGGCAAACCGACAACAAGACATACATGTCAGTGGCCGTCCGTACACTGAGGAAGCGGGCTGTTGCTCACCGATTGCTTTGAGTGCTGGCCCTACAGTTGGCAGCTTAGCCGCAGCGCCCTGCAGTAGGGTAGACACACACAACAAAAAGCATCGAGCAGATCACCACCCACCATCGATCAATGTCCTCCCTCCCCACCTCCTTCCCTCCCCCGGGAGCAGCAGTCGCCTTGGGGTGTGCGTCCATCCGGGCCTTCTCGTACGTGACGAACTCCTGGTGCATCAAAACCTCCTCCTCAAACAGCTTCCTCAGCTTGCCCTCCACCATTTTGTCAATCACGCCCTTCTTCTCAGCCTGCGGCCCCCCACCGCTCGCAGCCATGGCGGCCTTGAGGATCTGCCGCTCCGACTCGAGCACATCGGGTGGCACCTGCTGCTCCGTGATGTACCGGGGGCGGGACGCAACCACCTGCAGACAGACATATTCACCGGCGGCCAGTGTGATCTATCAGTTCTTATGCGTTTTGTCTGGCCGGCGATGACACACCTGCATCGCGAGAGCGAGTGCAAGACGCTGGAGGAGCTGCTGGTCATCGGGGGAGGGCAGCGGGGGGTCAAGACGAAGACGGACAAGCGAGGCCGTGGAGCCCACCGTCGGCCGCACCTCGTTGTGCACATAACTGCAGTCAACGACCACACAGACGCAGAGTGTCGTCGGTTTACCGAATGTCAGTCAGGTGTGGCTCTCGTCAGTCACCTTCCGAGAACGCCAGTGGCCGGGTCAGGCGGCAGCGGCAGCCACGCCATCCGCCGCAACGCCACCCTTTCTCCTGCACACAATGACAGACTGACATAGGATCTTGCCTCAACCCGAATCTTGCCTGAACGCCCAGACTGGTATCTCTCCTTGGTTCTCACCGACCGAGCAGTGCCGAGAGCTCCAGCAAAGCCTCTCCCACATTGGTCTTTGCGATTCTGTCGTCCACTCTCTCAACCAAGTCTGCCTTCTCAAGCTCCTCGACACCTTTGCCACCAGTGGTGAGAGGCAGTGTGGCGGCCGTCTTGGCCAGCGTGGACAAGAAGGTCTGGAACTCGGCGGCGCGGGCCACGAAATCCGTCTCCGAGTTGAGCTCCACTATCACGCCGTGAGACTGACCGACGGCCATTGCGACGAGGCCTTGGCTCGCCTCGCGGAAGCCCTTGGCTGACGCGGACGCGATGCCCTTTTTCTTCAGCCACGTCATGGCCTCATCGATGTTGCCACCTGATTGACCTCTAGCCATCCCCTGCAATGTAACGATGTGAGTGCTGCGCACCTTCTGCGGCGAGGGCCTCCCTGCATTTGCCAACGGATGCTCCGGTACGCTTCCGCAGCTCCTTCACCTGACAAAGAAGAACCCAGCGAAATGCACTGCTGTACTGCCTTCCCTTCGGTCTGGTGCTCACCATGTCAGCAGTGACTTCCACAGCAAAATAGCGACTCTGCAGATGCAGGGCCGCGTGGGTGACTGGCTGGCAGGCGGATCTGTGCCCCATGCCCACTGCTGAGCCGAGAAGCCGGCATCCTTCGCGTAGAAAGGGAGCCCAAAGCGACATTCGTTGGAAGCTTTGATGAGTGGATGCTGAGATCGGCTGAGGGATCGGAAGCCGCAAAGAGCTCCTTTTTGCAGCGGCGGAAGAGCATGCGAGCTTGAAGATGTGCGAGCTTTTCTTCTTCGGAGTGTGAAGAGATCTCTGCCGAGTGATATGATTTTCTTCTGGGGAGTGTTCTGAGTCATCTGATCCATATCACTCGCCAGAAGCTGCATTCGATCGGCGCATTTCCATTCCACCTCTCAGCAGGGGTGTTTCAGGGCATCTGTGAGTGACAGAGACAGCAACTGAGGGGGGAGGAGGCAGCAATGCGTTCCACAACCACAGGAATCTCAACGGGCGCCATGGCGAGACTCCCTCGCCCCACATTCATCCTGCTCTTGCAACTGATGCTGCTGCTGCCGCTGAGGCTAATGAGCATCTTCCAGGCTCCTGCCATCTCTCGAGATCTGCCGCTGACGTGGGATCTGTTCCATAGGGACACAGTGTCGCTGGCAAGACGGCTGAAGGACACCGGCAAACGGTTCCGCGGGATTGTGGCTGTGAGCCGGGGAGGGCTGCTGCCGGCGGGTGTGTTGAGTCAGCAGCTGGACGTGAAGCTCGTGGACACGGTGTGCATGTCCAGCTACAGCACCGACAAGAAGCAACACAGGCTCAGGTCAGTCAGTGGGTGAGGGGAGGGGATGATGAAAAATAAGACGCATGTGCTCTTCCATCCATTCTGTGTGCGCATCCTGCCGTCAAACGTTTGTGTGATGATTCATCCAGGTGCTTAAAAGGCGTGTTTCATGACGGCCTTGGATGGCTGGTGGTGGACGACTTGGCCGACACAGGGGAGACCATCCGTGCGCTCCGGAAGATGCTGCCCAAGGCCACTTTTGTAACGGTCTACGCGAAGCCGTTGGGGAAGCCCTGGGTGGACATGTATGTCAAGTCGCTTGAGCAATCCATGTGGGTGTCCTTCCCATGGGAGAGGGAGCCGGGCCTGCCCGCAGAGGCCACCGAGCAGGAGACCGACAGGGCGAGGGAGGGAGAGGGGCAGGGGCAACGCAACAGCAACAGTAACAACAACAAGAAGGACAGCAGAGAGAGCGACAAGGCCGGGAGTGCGATGGAGTGGCCAATGAGGCGGCCTGTGCTGCATCAGATTGCCCGGAGGGTGCCGTGGCAGCAGAGGAAGCGGGGAAGATGATCGGTGGGCGTGTAGTGTGGCACGCCTGCAAGGTGCTGCGTGGCGGTCTGCTGAATGAAGCGATGACAGGACAGGACAGACAGGAGCGGTTTAGTGTCTGCACCTTTTTCTCTGTCTGTGCATTTGGATGTCTGGCTGACTGACCGAGAGTGGCCATGATGTGACTGTCTGTACATTGATTGATTATTGTAATGTAGATACACATCGTCTTCCGCTCCATCCATCCATCCGTCCAATGTATCCGATGGATGGATGGATGGATGGATGGATGGAGGCGCCAATTGGCAGCGATGAGGAAATTCTTGAGCTCGCAGAAATCACGTCTGCAGAACATGCACGTGAAGATCCCGTGCTTTCTGCCCGTCTTGCTCACTGCCGTCCGCACTGCATCATCCCATCCATCCTTCCGCGCCGGCACTTCAGAGGCCGCCTTCTTCCACCCACTCGGCCTGTATTTGAGAAGGGCCCAGCCCAGCTACCGTCAACGCCGCAGCGTCTGCTTCATGGCGGGGACGGGCGGCTCAAGGAGCGTCAGGGTGCTTGTGCCAGTGGCTGATGGGAGTGAGGAGATTGAGGCCGTCTGCATCATCGACACACTCGTCCGTGCCGGCGCCAAGGTGAGTGGCATGCTCACCTGCACAGACAGACAACCATGGGTGGGTGCGCTTCCTTGCATCTGTGCAGGTGACTGTCAGGTATGTCCTTGGGAGACTGTCGATGGATGCGTTGCGTTCTGCCGAGGTGCTTTGATGTGGTGGCTTTCAGCTCTGTGATGGGTCGAGATGACCGCGTCATTACGGCGTCGCGAGGGGTCAAGATACAGGCAGACTCCAACATAGATGACGTCAAAGGTCCGTCAGCAGACAGACAGGATACGCACGCCACCCGGCGCCGTGTGTGTGTGTCGGTCAGATGAGGATTTTGACATGATCATCCTGCCTGGTAAGCCACCGCAAACGACGGCCTTGCCCGCGCAGCACACTCCATCAGTTTACTAGCCTTGTTCGTCAGGTGGCATGCCGGGCGCGACCCACCTTCGCGACTGTGCGACGCTCACTGAGATGCTCAAGAAGCAGCGACAGGCCAAACAATGGTGCGCACAACCACGACAGATCAACCGAAGCACACTCACTTTGTGTGTGTGTGTGTGTGTGTATGTAGGTACGGCGCCATTTGCGCGGCTCCGTCCGTGGTGCTCGAGAGCCACGGTCTCCTTGAAGGCGAGAAGGCCACCGGGTACCCCAACGCTGCCCTCGAGATCACCAACAGAGTGGACGGGCCGCGTGTCGTCATCTCAAACAACGTGCGAGCTGGGAAGGAGAATACCACAACATGGCAAGCCACCAGTCACCTGTTTGTGTAGGTGATCACATCAATGGGCCCCGGCAGCGCGCTGGAGTTCGCCCTCGCGTGTGTGGAGAACCTGTTTGATGCCGACACGGCCCTTAAGCTCAAAGACGAGATGCTGGTGGGGAGCTACGAGCCTGTCGCGTGCTAGGCAGGCAGGCAGGTGCTGATCGATCAACGAAGGCTGGCAGAGAAATGGTCTGTCTTTGTGACCATCATTTATTGTATGTGTTGGTCTTGTGATTGAGGGAGGCATTTATGCACTGTGTGGCTGTCTGATTGGTGGATCGGATCATGCCGATGTGGTTGATCGTGGTTGTAGCCCAATGCAGCGTGGCGGTTGTTCGCGCCTGGGTGGCTGTGGTGTGCGCGGCTTTGGCTGGAGGTGACACAGCCAAAGCCACGTCGCTCAGCGACACAGGCTCGACGATTGTCAAGACGTTGATACGTGTGTAGTGTGTTGTGTGTGTGTGGATACCATACCTACTAAACGGATTGAGTCAGTTCACTCACTCACGCACGCACGCACGTCCTACCACCGCAGCGTTCATGCAGCTAGGCGGGCCAGGCACTGGCTGTGTCAGTCAACCACTCACCCCCACGATTCTTTCACTGTTCCATCCATCCAGTCACTCATCCATCGCTGCACCCGCCAAGCCCCCCACCCAGGCACACAGAAGGCAAGCGAATTCAATCACCGATTCCTTCATTGAACCCGCACCAACCAACACGCGCCGCACGAGCACTGCACAGCATGTGTGTGTGTTCGTCCGTCCGTCCACAAATACGTACACGCGATATATGCGATAGATGTACACACACGAATGGTACCGAAGCTACGGTACGCTCTACAATGCAATACAGAGACACGGTAGCGCTGGACAAGACAAATGGATGTATGGATGTAGATGCGTACGGACAGCTAAGCACAGCACCTATAGACAGACAGGACACGTACACACCACAGAGGGAGGGAGGGAGGGAGGGAGGCAGAGATGGATGGATAAATGAGCACGTAATTGTAGCTAGCTATAACAAAAAGAACTTACTTGTTGGTCGGATACACCTACCCTGGCTGACTGCCAAAAACACCAACCAACCAACCAATCGACCAATCGACCAATCGACCAACATCTGTGTCTCTCTCTCTCCTGTCAATGCGTCTCTTCTACAGCAAAGACATACGTGCATACAAATACAAACGTACATCCGCCCGTCAGTTCACTAGCGGCAAGGAAGGGATACATACATACGCCAAGTTTGAGGCACAAGACACAGACAGGCAGCCAGCCAGACAGACAGACAGACAGACAAGGAGCCGGACAAGGCGCATCAGCCCTAGGCAGTACAGACACCCTCATTATGAGCGTGTACGCATCCACACGAGGTCAAAAGGAACTCTACCTCCCCCCTTCCTCCCTGAGTCGCTTTCCCTGCCTCTGTCTCCCTGTCTCCCCATCTCCCTATTTCTCCGGGCAGTCCGACTCGTTGCCCCATCCCGAGAAGACGGGATTGGACCTCCTGAGTGGCTTGCCGCCCCAGCTCATGGCCTCCACCTGGAAGTAGTGGCACCTCTCTTGCGCAACCCCCTTGTGCAGCGGGTAGATCTCCTCGAAGCTCCTCTTGACTATCACGTCCGCGAACTGGTTGGCCTCGCGAAAGTGGCCGTGCCATATCTTCCACTTGGCCACCACCGTCGCGCCGTTCCAGCTCATGTGCAGCTGCGGCGGGTTGCTCTCGCGGTCCAATATCAGCCACGGGTCGGCCTTGGGTATCCCCCACCAGTCGTACCGCAGCGCGCGGTAGCTGTTCTCCTGCGCCGTGAACTCCAGCTCCAGCAGCCTCTCGCCCGTCGGGCTGACCTCAGTGTAGAAGGGCAGCTTCTCGGGCCGTCCGACGCCGCCCCAGCAGATGCCGAGATTGCCGTTGGTGAACCGCTGCATGCTGCCCGTCGCCATGCCGTAGTAGTTCTCGGGCGAGCGGTACTCGCGGACCTTCTTGATGAGCCGGTCGGGCTCATCAAGCCAGTACTCGACGGCGCGAGAGTAGCGGGGAGGGGGCCAGTCGTGCAGGTTGTCGTTGGAGTAGACGGTGAGGTGGCTGTCCTCGTGCAGACGGACGTCGTGCTGGTGCGAGAAGGGGCGGTCCTCATCCACCCACGTGAACTCGTTGCCGGGGCCGCCCAGCCGCCAAATGATGTCGCCCGTGAGGCGGTTGATCTGATGGATCGGATACACACACACAGGGAGAGGGGGGGAGACATGCTGTGCGGTCCAGCGGCGATGGTCGTGGTGAGTGAGTGAGTGAGTGAGTGGGTCACCTACCTTGATGACTTGGTCGAAGTGCCTGAGCGATGCGGTGATGTGGCCGTCTGTTGTCCAGTCGATGGCATTGATGTGGATGGGGTCAGCAACCTTTGACGACTTCTGCCCGAGGCCCACGGTCTTGTGCATGGCCTCGGGCAGATGGTCCCACATCCGCCACTCAAATATCTGCCGAATGACAGACAGACAGACAGACAGACAGACAGACAAGGGGGAGAAGGGTCGGTCGCTCTGTGCCCTGAGTGCGTGTGTGGGCGTGGCGTCATCTCACCACATTGCCGGAGGTATCGATCTCCTGGATGATGCCGCCGATGACCTGGGCGTCCTCCTGCCCCTCAGGGATGCCCATGGCCTTGACGTCCATGCCCTCCGTCTGGTACACAATCATGAGGGAGTGGCCCTTTTCGTTGACTTGGAAGTCGTGGGCGTTGGCGAAGTATCCGTGGCCGGGGAAGTACCGTTTACATATCTCGTAGTCGTGCCCCATCTCGACGTAGGTGCTGGCGTTGGTGTCGTGGTAGGTGAAGTTGCCGTTGCGCTGCACCTTGAGGTCGATGAGCGACCAGATGTACCCGTCGTCCCACACGCGCTTGAACCACACCGGCTGCCCCACGTCGTCCGATATGATCAAGTAGGCGCCCCATTGGTCCTCGGGGTACCGCATGTTGGACGAGAATATGAAGCCCTTGCTCAGCCCTTGGGCCGGACCGTGCTTGACGTCGATGAGCGGCAGGTCGCCCGGGATGGTCTTCCAGTCCTTGTACGGAGCCGTCCACATAGAGGAGGCCCTCAGGTTGACCTCCTCACCCTCCTGCCCATCGCCGTCGCCGGTATTCGCCTCCTGAGCGCTGGCCTTGATTGTGTGGCCTTTCCCCTTCCCCCGCTGCGCCGCCTTTGGCCTCACATACTGCTTGAAGGCCGTCTTCATGACTTCTCTGTGCTTCTCATAAGCCGCCCTGTCTCCCGGAGGCATCCCATGCCGATTGACCGCATCAACAAACCTCTCCCACGACTCCTTCGCGGCCTTCTGCTGCATCCGCCTCCTCTCCTCAGGACTCATCTCGGCTGTCGCGTTGGCCTCTAGCTGTCGGCCGCCGATACCGGGGGCTGCGGGCGGACCAGCTTTGCCGCCTCCGTTGTGGAACTTGGGATCAGACGGCTGGACGGACTCACGTGCCTGCGGGACGGTCCAGGGGTTAAAGAGAGTGGGGTCTGTGGCGCTGCCGAGGGCCCAGGCTGACCGGTACTCCCTGACGGGCTTCCAAGAGACCTTGAAATTGTACTCGAGCGCTTCCTCGCACACGGAGCCGTCAAGGGTGGCAATGCCGGGGATGATTTTGAGGAATACCCTCTCGCCAGGGGCGAAGGGCTGGGGGATGTTGACGATGAGCGTCTTGCCGTCGTTGGCGATGTGGTGCCACCCGGACAGTTCGCCCGTCTGCTCACCCTTGATCCACAGCTTGTTCTCGATGGTCTCAGGCAGCAGCCGATGGCCCTGCCGAACGGCGATGGTCGTCACGGCAGACACCATGTCGGAGCCGGGGCGGGGGTGCACATACTGGTAGCAGCCGAACCGGCCACCTGCCGCCCTCGCGGCCACACAAGCCAAGAAAAGGAAAGAGAGCCGCTGCATTGGGCGGAAAGGTACAAGGGTGACTGCAGAGCGTGTTCCCCTGTCCCGCTGCAGGCTGCCCCTGGAGCCTTTCTTCTGGTGTCCGTCACCTCGCATATACTGTCCTTTTATTTTGGCTCCAACGGCCAGGAGGGAGACGCTCGACGAGGCCAAGCAAGCACGTAAGCAAGAAGGCACCATGATGCCTGCACCCTTTCATGCGCCCCTCTGTGATTCAGGCCCTCGGACTCGTCTCCCTCCCCCGTTGTTCCATGGGCAGTGGCCGTCATGGCTGCAAGGCGGAGAGCTGCTGCTTTTCCCCTTCTCATCCTGTGCTGCTGCGCCGCCCTTCGCTCAGCCATGGCGCAAACCAGCAGCCAGAAAGTGCTGCGAAATTACGGAAGGTCAGAATGTTTATCCAGGGTCCCCCGTGTCAGTACTTATGTTTTTTCTTCCTGCTTGACAGACCTGTCGAAGGCCTGACAACCTTCTACTGGTGGGAAGAGACCACTGCAGTACACTGGGCACATTTGCACAGTGACAAGTCACTGCTGCTCGTCTGTCTGTCTGATTGTGTCGGATTGCGCAGGGATCTGAGTGAGGGTGACCCGGGCTTCTGTCAGCTGTGGCCTCCGCCCGTATGAACTCATCGATGAGTCTGTCTTCAGCCTGTCTGACTGTCTGACTGCGGGTTTCTGTCTTTCTGGCTTCAGCCTGCCGGCGTCAACGGCATCTATCGGACGGTGGCCCTGAGCATCCCGGGGGGCGACTTCCACGAGTCGAGAGTCTGTAAGTCGCAGCCACCAGCCACCAGCCAACCAGCCACACACACCCCTTTTGGCTGTGTGTGTGTGTGGGTCCATTCACAAACACAGGTGGGATGTGCATCGACATCATTTCTGACGGCAGCGGGGGAGGGAGAGAGGGCGACAAAGTGCCACCGGGCGAACGATTCAGGGTGCGGAATGACTGAGTATGAATCTATGTCTAATGGCCGCCTACACGTCTTGTCGGTGCTTTGGTGGTGGTGGTGGTGGTGGTGGTGGTGGGTGTGCAGCTGTACGTCAACAATGCGAATGCGGGAGGTTCGCCGGGCGATCTGGACATGTCTGACGGTGGCCGGGACGGCAAGTGGCAGGCCACTTGGATGGCCACAGACTGTGACCCAGGCGACCAGGGCGTGGCGGTCGTCTTCGAATCGGGCAGCAGGCTAGTTCAATGCTTGTGGGCTGAGTCCTGGATGGAGTGGATGGATGGATGGATGGACGCCAAACCAATAATAACTGTCTGTGTGTGTCGGTGCAGCGAGAACTATATGGGTATTCAGATCGTGAATGGTCCCATCCCATTCCGGCACGTAAGCATTATGCAGCCCCTCGATGCCTTCCTTGCCCACATTCATCATCATGGATGGCCATTTACTCCCTCTGTGCTGTGTGGATGAAGGTCCTGTACTTCTCTGAGGGTGGGCAGAAGTGGGTGCCAATGCGGTGGCAGACGCGACACATGTGGACCCTCTCCGCCGACGAGACGGGCGTGCCATGGCCCGAACGGCTCTTCAAAGCGCCATACAGGTTCAGGGTCACATCAATGAAGGTCAGTCAGCACAGCGACACGACACATACCACGTCACAGCGCTCCTTGTCAGGGCGAGGTGAAGGAGATCACGGTGGATCGAATGGGCAGCGGCCGCGGTGACTATGTGTACGCCAACCCCGTTGTGCAGTTCGAGGGCATCTTCCCGAACCGCCCGGCCAACTGGAGGGACACCGTCTCCTGCGAAATTGAAGCCTCGCAACGGACACCCATCGTCCGCGACACCACTGTGGTTGACCAACTCACCGAGCGGGGGTATGGTGTGGATGGACACGTGCCAGCTCACAATCTGTGTCGCCAATGGTGGTGCATGTGTGTGTGTGTGTGTGTGTGTGCAGTTGCGAGTTGCTGTATGGCTGCTGGGCCGCAGAGACCGACGCCAACCCCAAATGCTACAAGCCAACGGAGCTCGGGCCGCCCGAAGGAGAAGACCCCTACACGTGTGACCAAGCCGGTCGCTTTTTCCCCCGGCAGGCCTGTGGCGACTCCACTACCACCGAGAGCAACTGCATCATGATGGGCTGCTGCTATGACGCCGAGGCGGCCGGCGGCATCAAAGAATTTCGGGACAACATTGCCGGGGACATCGACGGAGTGGATGGGGGGGATGGGTACGAGGGGCCTCCTGCGTGCTTCACCCGGCCGAGTGATATCCGCAACTACATGGGAAAGGTCGGGGGCAATGTGACTTACGCGGTGGTAGAGGGCATGCACCTTAGGCGCTGATGAGGGAGGGAGGGAGGGAGGGACGAGAGGCAGGGAGGGAGGGAGTTTTGGCTGGCTGAGCGGGGGAGGGAGGAATGGATGGACTCGCTGGGCTTTTTCATGCATGCACAGGTCCCAATCTACACCTGCGTACACGAGTAGAGGTGCGGTGCGTTGTGATTTACTAATTGGCGGGCGGCATATGCTTGATACGATACGGGAGGGAGGAGAGTTTTTCTCTTGCCTGTTTTGATTGGGGTTTGGTATGCGTATGCGTGTGCGCCGATGCCTTCACACACAGAAGCGACATATATGCACCAACAGACGAGACAAGACGAGACGAGACGCGATCTTTTGCGCAGTGTCGTTTTTCATTTTTGGTCAGTCAGTCAGTCAGTCAGCTGAATTAGCACCCATGAATGCCTTCGTGTATTGCTCACTTCATCTGTGCAGTCGAAGGAAAAAACGGCTGTGTGTGTCTATTTCGCTATCGCTCGGTGAGCCCGTCCCCCTTTTGTGTGCAGCTAGGCCTGGCGTACGTAAGGCGTCTGTCTCTCCACATACTTTCATACAGGTAGGGTACGTAGGCAATATTGCGTGCTTGTGCCCTTACAGCCGGCGCGCTGGTACGTGTCAGTCACAACATAAGGTCGGGGCGATGTGCGATTTATTGCATATATTCCCCTTTGTCGGCCTGCCTGCCTGCCTAGCTGGCTGCCTGGTGGGCTGTTTTGTGCGTGTGTGTGTACAGGCGTACGTACCATCGACCTTCTGTCTAACGCTCTCTCTGGCTATCGCTCGCTCGCTCTGCTTTGAAAATCGGATTGTCCACGCAGTCTTTCTGGCTGGATGCGATGCCCGGCTAGGCCTGGCCATCTCTCTGTCTGGCTGGCTGGATGGATGGATGTATGTATGTGTCTTTTGGTGTTCTTGATGCGTGTATGTGTGTGTATGGGTGTGTTCGTGTGTAGATAGACGAAGGAGATACGTGTGTCGATGATGATTGGATGGATGGATGGATATTAATGCATTCGTTTCTTGGATGTCCGCCTCGCCTGTGTCTTCCTTGATGGACTAGCTCAATCCATCTACTCTATCTATTAGGTATGCCCTTCCTACACACACCTTAGCTACGCAGGCACTAAAAAAGGTCAACGCGCCTGGCCAGGCTCCATCCATCCAAAGAGGCTAAGTCAACCGTCTGCTACCTACACCTAACACACCACACCACACCACACAGGTTGCCGTCTCGTCTCAGCCCCCGTCACTGCGGATCCTGGCGGCCAGCAGTGCGCTGATGGGGAGCGGCTGCCCCTCCCTGTCGTCCTCCCTCTCAGGCACATCCTCGTCCATCATGACGTACCCAAACCAGTGGTAGGTCTGCTGGGCGTGCGGCAGGATGTGGTCCATGTCGATGCAGGCCTCCAGCCAGTCGGTGAAGACCACACTGATGGTGTGGGTGGCGCCGCTCTCGCTCGGCGTGGGGAAGGGCGGGTCGATGCCGTCGGGGTTCAACGCGCTCATCGACTCGTAGTCGAACGGCCAGCTGGGAGACACACAAAACACACACACACACAGACAGACAGGCATGGGAGGGGGAGATGGACAGTGTGTGTGTGTTTACAGTACGTGAGGAAGACGGTGTCCGGCACTTTGAAGTGGTTGATGACTCTCTCCATGAAGGGGTCGCGTGTGATGGTCGCTGCCAGCTCCATGGCCTGGTACCGCAGATCGCCGGCCGACGGAGACGGCTCGGAGTACACAAAGTCCTCCCATGGCTGCAATCAACACAACACAACACAACACAACACCCACGCCACGCCCATGAGTGGGTGGTGCATCATCCGTCCATCCATCCAGCAGTCAGGTTGTACATACCAGGATGTCCTTGATGCTGAGTACGATAAAGTCTGGTGGCTGTTTGGGGTCGGTGGACTCGACAACACCCTCGAAATCGGCGGGGAACACCTGCACACTCCCGCCTCGGTCGTCGACCTGACCACACACACACAGCAGGACACGACACGACACGACACGACACAGACAGGGTGGGGTGTGTTGCATCGGGCTCTTCCCTCCCTCCCTCCCTCTCTCTCTCTCTCTACTGACCATTTTGGTAGCCCACCGCCCCCAAGCGTCGAGGTTGTCCGGGTGCACCCACAGCTGCTTGCCCAGAAAACACATCGGGTCAGGATCAGGGCTGCGCCGGCCCCCACGGCCGCGACCGCCCCTCCCCCTCCCCCTCGCCCCACGCACCCCCCGCCCGCCCCCTCCCCCTCCCCCGCCACGCACAAACTTGTTGCCGCCGCGACCCAGGAAGTAGTCCATCGACATCTGCCTCGATTCACCGTCGCCGCCATTGCTGCTGTTGTTGTTGCCGCCCCCGCTGCTGATAGCCTTTTGCATGTCCTCTTTGTGTCGTCGCTCGTCCTCGATGGCCGCGTCCTGGTCGAAGAGGATGTCGTCCTCCATGCTGCTGCTGGTGTTGTTGTTTGCGGCGTTTTTTTTCTTCTTCTGCTGTGGCTGTGGCTGTTGCTCTTGGCGTTGGGCGGGTGAGGGCTCGTCGTTTGGTGAGGGTTCGGGGTTCTGGGAGGGAGACGGGATGACCTCTGTGGCGTCACTCGCGTTGTCCTCGTCTGAGGCTGCAGCAGCAGCAGCAGCTGCTGCTGGTGCCGGCCTGTAGGCAAGATGAACACACATGCATCGCGTCGCATCCAAAGAAGTACGCACACACAACCGTGCCCATGCCTTCCTCCCCTCTGCTGACTCGTCGTTGCTTGTGACGATATCCATGGGAGCTGATGCTGCAGCAGCAGCCGCTGCTGCTGGTGGTGGTGGTGGCGGTGCTGCAGCGGTGGCCACTGCATCGCCCTCCTCCTCCTCCATGGCAGAGGCCCCTCCCACCCGCCCCACTCCACCGTCGCCCTTCTTTTCCCTCTTGGCAGCCGCCGCACGCTGCCCGCCGCTCTCATCGCCATCGCCATTGCCGTCGTGGTCACTGTCTCCGTTGGTCGGCAGGGGGCGCTTCCGGGGGTTGGCCGCCTGCTGCTGCTGCTGCTGCTGCCTCTGGAAGTAGTAGACGTGTCTGCATGCCCGCAGACAAGAGATGCACTCGTCCCGTATTCCTCTTTTCTGCTGTGGGCATGTGTCTAGCTAGTATGTGTGTGCATCTATCTCCTGTCTGTCTGTTCTTACGTGTGGACCTTCCGCTGGGCCAGGTAGCGGCGCAGACATCGCTCGACGGCATACCTACCTCAGAAAGGAAATGGGTCTCGTGTGTGTGTGTGGGAGGGGGGGGGGGGGGGG